TATGAAAACTCAAAACTATAAACTTGTAGATCTCACTAAGGTCTATAACTTTGATATAAGAATGTATCTTCATTTGACATCATACAAAAAGAATATTATTTTTAAGTGCGGCAAGCAGTGGTACGCCATTATTATAGTGCTAAAATTTTATATTATTTTTGAGCATCTTAACGTTCTCAAACGATAAAACTCAAAACTAGAAAGTCGTAGATCTCGTCGAGATCTACAATTTTCATACAAAAATCATCTTCATCCGACTTCATATTGAAGAGTTATGTTTTTTGAAAATTTAGTCTTGTCATGCCACTCCCAGTGACGCGACAAAACAATACTGTTACGCCACCAAGACTGGCGTGACAAGCTTTTCCACGTCGAAAACTCCGTCGAACATGGCAGATGTTGCCGCGCCACATGCGTTGGCGCGACAACGTTGTTTGGTCACGCTAGCGGGACTGGTGCGACCAAAAGGGTCATATCTATTTTTTTGAACAGTTATTATTAAAATATTGAATAAAAATGATTAAAAAAATCCCTGGTGGAGACAAAAGCATGATGCACGTAGATGTGGGCGGTGTCGCACTCAACACCAGCAGGGCTCTGTTCGGCTGGTCTATAAGCCGCTTGTGTTGATTCGTACGGCTGATTTGTTGGAAGAGAAAAATACTATACCATGGCTGATAAACCGGCTTATAAGCCAGCTTATAATGGCAGCCGAACAGAGCCCAAGCTTGTTCGACACCGCCACATATGTTTTTTTCCTCTTATTTATACTCGACACCAGCAGCCTTGTTCGGCACCCTGATTGTGGAGGGTTTAGTTCCACCCTGATTGTTAAAGGTGGGTAAGACCAACATATAAGGCTTCTAGAGTCTATCCCACCATTCTCGTGTTAATTCTTTTACTCGAAGCGAAGCAAGGATGAAAGCGTAAGTGAGATGGTGGTAGGTACGATTTACTCAGCGTGTAGAGTATACTAGGACAAGATGGAGAAAGTATTACTCTGTTCTAATCTATGTTGTTTTCATCGTGTATGCACCTGCATTGCATATTGCTCCTCTGGGAACTCCAGCAGAGCCCTCAAACTAAGGCCTCTATTTTTAGTTTGAGGGCTCAATTTCTTTTGATTTACTAATGAGTCCTTAGAGAACTCTAGCAGGAGCCCTCAAACTAAGGGCTCAATTTCTTTGGTTCTACTCTAGCAGGAGCCCTTAAATCAGGACTCTCAAATTAATCCCTATAGAGGGTGACACACAAACCCACTTGTCATCCTTGTTGATTGAGTGACACGGGACCCACTCGACATCCTTGTCGCTCTAATCGGGTGAGATATGAACTACACAGGAGAGGGGTCAGGGTTGCGGATCTCGCAGTGTGTGCCATAAGAAGAAGCATGTGCGGGGAGCCATCTTCGAGGTTTCTCACCGTCGGAGGAAGAACCGGGCATTGCTCGTGCGACGTGGAGCCTCATCGAGGAGGCGGCTTTGAGCCGAGCGTACTCGCAGGGGAGGGGATTCATGCTGGGTGGGAGCTACGCTGGAGCACCAACCACTGGGTCGCAGGGTTGCACCGATCACATCGGCGGTGCTGCCGGATGAAAGAAGATAGAAAGGAAAGAGGAAAAAAAAGAAAACTGGTTTAAGAGCCCCACGTGCAAGTGTCTCATCTCATTTTTCAACATCTCTCAACTAAACTAGAGCAGGGATGATCCTGTCCCCCTCAACCATACACAATGCAGGGACCATCCCATCCCAAAAACCTGAAATGGATTCATCACATCTCTCTCATCTCAGTACCAACACAGCCGTAGCTTTCATGACATCTTAGGCAACTCCATTGTGCATTCTAAGATCAAGCCCAATAATATAAGACTCGTCTATAAATAAAGCCAAATAACCAATAAACAAGTTTAAAGTCTAATACATACAACAACTAATCTCTTTGTCTACTATAAACACTGTTTTTATTCGTATGGAAAGGAAAGGGAGCCGGATGGGATAACTGGGTAGGCCACTCGATTGGAAAAGGAGTCTCGGCCTACGTGTTGTTGTGGTTGAGGAGGCACCCATAAGGTTAGTTTTCTCTCTCTCGTGTAGCTAACGTGGTGGGCGATTCGCCTTGTACCTGTCCTAACCCATTGCAAAGAGGAGAGAGCAGAAAGCAAATATGGGCAATACATTAGAGTGCAGATGCTAGCATAACACCACCTTACACAGTGCAAACAGTCGAAACCATTTTTTTTCTTCTTTCATCCTTTCACCTCTCTTATTCTCTCATCACTGGTTGCTCATCCACCAACACAGTTTTTTATTTAGTGTAGGGCCCACCTTAGTATGTATAAGGAATTTACACGTTGGAAAACTTTCTGGCTAAGGACCTATTGACGTGTCAACCTTTACACTTTGCTAAGAGACAACTCCGTCTGATAAGAAGTCAACACCTTCGACTTTATCCAAAATTTTACAATAAAGTAGTAATATTTATTGGCCAGTTTGTTTCGCTAAAATTTTACTTACGCTGATACTTATGCTAATTTATTGTAAGAGAAAAATATTGTTCATCGTTGAAAAGTACTGCTGAAGTAATGCTGAAGAATAGGGCTATTATATGGAATAAATATCATTAAATAAATTATAAAATATGTTTTTATAATAAATCTATTTGAAAATATAATCATTGATATTATTTTCTTAAAATTTAAGAAAATTTGACCTGTCCTAAATCTATAATTATATATGTTTTTGAACAGCGGGAGTACTCGTTTAGTGCCTTGTACTTACCCTTATATGCCTACTTGTTCAAACGCCCACTAGCATCTGTTTTGTGTGAAGATCCATATCCTAATTTTATAATATGATTTATATTAATTAGCAAATAACGATAACCAATATCGACCACAATATACAAATTTTGTGTAGAAAATCCTTGCAGGAAAAAAAACCCACAGATGTTTTTAATTTGCGCCTCAAACTCGGCGGCGTGACACCAGATGGAGCGCACCTATCTCCTCTCGGACTCGCACATGTGCACGTAGCCAAAAAAAAAAAAGCAGGTTGGTAGAGTCTTTGTGTGCACCTAGCAAAATTGGCGCAGCACAAGTTCTCCTCTCCCCGGATTTTCATGCAGCAATGAATTCACTCAGCTCCGTTGCAGGCTTGCAGGTTGCAGAGACTGCACGGGGTATCTTCCACTGCAAGCCTCCTTTATCTTCCGTTACCGTGTTACCTTCCCTAAAATGTTTACAACAAAATATGATGCAAGTTTTGATTGAAAGAATCAAAATCGGATCGAGTTAGATTCAAATTGACAAGTTTGGCGAGAAAATGGAGAAAACCGGCCCACGCTGGTGTGGGCTGGGAGTTACATAAAATCGTCCTGGGCCGGTTTTCAAACCGACCGAACCAGATTTTGGCCGTGTACTCGTCTGATGCTAAATAAACTCATCCAGGCTGATATTGCCTGTTTAAGTTTTGAGTTTTCTTTGATGAAAACTTGCTCGATTTTATAGGAAACTAATAAGATACAACTATCCTCAGAGGATCACAAATGATCGAGTGATTCAATTGATCAACGCCATGTTCGCTTGGCTTATAAGCCATATTTTTTCAGCCAACGAATAATATTTTTCTCTCACAACAAATCAGCCAATAGTACTTTCAGCCATGACTTATCAGCAAAGCAAACAGGGCACAAAATCAATATATTACACTTTTACCCTATTCTTCAATTTAACTGCCCCTTGCTGTGCAGCACGTCTCTCGGTAAGGTTTGTTGCTTTGTAAGTGGCTTTACGAATCCTAGGACACTTAAGTTATGCTCCTCCATAATGGGTTGGGAGTTCGATTCGCTCTCTCCGGTAAGTTTTTTTTATCTTTTTGGCCTCAATTGGCATGTTCGCTGGTTGGTTTCTGGGCTGGCTGGTGCTGGTTTGTTGTGATAGGAAAACACTGTTGGCTGGCTGATAAGCCCTGACTGAAACCAACAAGCGAACATGCTGAATAACCACTTTTCTCACCTATGGCATCTATTTTCACAATCCTCTTGCCCATGCCCCCACCTTTTTTTCCTCTCTTTGGTGGCTCCCATTGTCAGATTTGTTGCCATATGAATTGTCTTCACAAGAATCGTCTTTAGGACAGCCTGGCGTGCCTAAGTGGTCTATCGCCGTAGGCTTCTCTCAAAGCTCGCTAGATCCAGGCCGGTCCCTAACCTCAAATCAGCCCAGAGACTCACATGAGATCATCATATTTGGAGGAAGGAGAGGGGAGAGGAAACACAGATTGATACAATATGTTCTAATTTTTCTTTCCTTTTTTCCTTTTCGGAAGCAACTTTTATCTTTTTTTTTCTCCTTTTTGACACTATGGAAAAGCTTCTCTCACCTACGAACGGACCCCACACATGATGGACAGCAAACCTGCATCTTCTTCTTTCTCTCGCCATGGACATCAAACCCGCCGCAGGTGGCTGCTTCTGCCGGCCAGGGCAAGCCGCACCGGACGGGGCTGGCCATGGCCACCGGGCGGGGCAGACGGCGCCCGCTAGGGCTACGCTCGGCCGGGGCTAGCCACGGAGCAGAGGGCGCCAGACGTGTTGAGCTCGCGACGATGGAGAAGATGTCACCGCATTGCGAACGGGAAAGAAGTCGCAGATTAAAAAGAAGGGAAAAAGAACAAACCGTTATCCATGTTACCAGTGGCGGATGGGTAATTTCCCCCCCCCCCCAAAAGCTAATGAAAGCTAGAGGAGATGTGCTTCTAGATTCGTACTATGAAAAAAATTGCTTTTGGGCACAAGGACATATGGCTTTTTGGGCCTCTTGTCATCTTTTGACTCTTGCAAAAGCAAAACACCATACCTAAGATATAACTGAGTTTTACTTTTAAATTTTAGCTAGCTAAACTTTGGCTGGTTTGCATCAAACACGCCAACTGTGTGATAGTGACGCTGCAGTTGCAGAGAGAGCCGGAGCTGGCCGCTGGCGCCTTGGGAGTTGGGACGCGATGGTAGTCCGACGCCGTGGCGCGCCGCTGCCGCCCGCGCCTCGCCGTGCCACACGGTCTCAGAGCCGGGTGGACCGCATCAGCGCACTCCCGGACGACCTCCTCCAGGTCCTCACCCGCCTCCGCTGCACCCGCACCGCCGCGCGCACAGCCTTTCTCTCCCGGCGGTGGCGCCGGGTCTGGCCTTGCCTCCTGGAGGTCTCCTTCCGCGGGCTCGCGCCCAACGTGATCGCCCGGTTCACCCGCACTTCGTTGGAGGCCATCGACATCCACGTCTGCAGGGGCACGGGACATCGCGTGCTGGACGCGGGCTGCGTCACCTCCTTGCTCCACGCCGCCGCGGGTCGGTCGCCGGTAAAGCTTGCCCTCACCATCCCGGTGTTCCTATACTTCCCTGTCGCTCTGCCCCGCTTCGATTTCGCCACATCGATCGAACTGGACGTGTGGGACGTCCGCTTCGCCCTGCCGGCGACGACGGAGTTCCCCAAGCTGGAGACGCTGTCCCTCTCGGGCTGCATCACGGAGCTCGCCGCCTTGGTGCCCCGCTGCCCGCGCCTGCGCGTTCTCAGCGTCACCAGGACTCCGCACGAGGTGGACACGATCACGGTGGACTCGGCGTCGCTCCAGGAGCTCGTCGTGACGTTCCGGTCCACGTCCACCATCGACATCGTGGCGCCCGCGCTCAGGAAGCTGGCGCTGGCCTCGCTCCCAGACAACAGCTTGTCGGTGGTGGCACCAATGGTGGAGGAGGTCACTTGGAGGTGCTTGTACTACTCCATGTATGTTGGGATTGGCACAATGTGGCGTGTCTTCTCCATCAACATACGGGCGGTGGAGAAGATGGATCTCACCGACGACGACAACGGCGACGACGAGGGTAGCCATCAGCCCCGTCGTGCCCATGTCCTGTCGCTGGACATACTTGACGTTCGTCTCAGTCTCTCGTGCTCATTCATCTCCTAGCTAGCTTCGTGGACTTTTAACTGGCTTCTAAATTGTTGTCTGCTGCCGATTGTTTTGTAGACCCCTTATCCTTCACAGAGGGATTTTGCAGAAGAATTGGAGAAAATCCCTGTTACCACCTTCTCTGTCCTAGAGCTGAAGATCGCAACATGGAGCCATGTTCTTGGACCACTGCTGTTGAACCTGCTTCGGATTTGCACTGCAGTGCAAAGGCTTGACATGGTTCTTGTGGATACCCCGGTACCTATTTACTCTTCTTTAAATACGTCTAGTGATTGTGTATTTGCAGTGCAATTAATACATTATATATGGTACATTTTGTTCTAGGTGCAAGTGACAGACTCTTGCGACAAATGGTGCCCTTGTCAGGAGAATAATAGGAAATGGAGAATAATAGGTGCAAGTGACAGACTCTCGATCGATCTCACAGAAGTGCAGATCGAAGGATTCAAAGGTGATGATGCTGAAATCGATTTCCTAAAAATGCTCTTCAGATGTGCCCCCATGCTTGAGACGATGACTCTGAAATTGTCTGACGAGGTCACTGATGACTGGTACAATAATCAGCCTGTTCGTTTGGCTGTGGCTTGTCGTAAACGATCGTAAATTTTCACCTGAAATAGTATTTTTCTCTCACACAAACCAGCCAGCAGTACTTCTTCACGAACCAGCAACGATACAAATCAACCAACTGAACAGGCTGATTATTCCTCGACACCGTCCAGGAGTACCCTTATGTGAATTCGAGCGTTTGTATCGGCTGATTAGTATTTAGCATGCTTCAAGCTACAGTAAGAATCGTTGTGGTCAGTCGTTAACTTTTTTATTTAGAGACTAGTCGAAACCCAAACCTTGTGGTTTATCGTTGTTAGCAATGTATGTACCTGCAGTATCATGCTTAGAAACTTATGCAGTTAAGTTAGTGTCTTCCATGTTGTATGGATTTTTATCAGGTGTTGGAAACTGCCACTGCCAGATCCCTACTTTTGTGCTGTGCGCAAAATCGCTGCATTTCTTCTAGTTCCTCGCTCGCCTAAACTGAGTGTTTGGCTGTTTGCGCATTGCGCTACTGCGTACAACAACCTGCTTGCTCCTTTGTGCTGATGGCGCGGCTTTTGGACCTTCCTTGTGGTAGTTCCAAAAATAACGTATTGGGACATACTGTAGCATCCATTATGCTATTATTTTCCAGGCCTCTATAGCGCTTAATGAGACTGATATAGCGGTGGTTGTTTAGTCCTTGTGGTTCACTGCTGCCACGCCATCTCATTAAGTATAATTTTTTTTACATTTTAAACTTTTGTTAGCGCGTGAGATGTGTTTCTCCAAACTCAAAAATTTTAGGCTCCGTTTGACACGACTCCATTTTACTAGTGAATTATTTTTTTCTTTAGCTCCACGAACAACCCTACGCGTGCAGCTGAAGCTGTTTTGCTAAACTGTTTGACAAACAACTTCACGTATACTCATATAGAGCTCCTCGAAACATGCTCTCATAGAATCTTATACATGGTCCAGCAGAGCGGGTGAAGCTACTATTTTTAAGCACTGTTTGGTATGACTCATCTTCGGTGCGGAGGAGCCCTACCAAACGATTTAATGGCTCCATTTCCTTGTGAGGAGTTCTACCAAACAAGGCTTTAACTCAATCTCTCATGCATCACTTAGGACATGTTTGGAACGCAAGAATAAATGAATCATTTAGGAATTCCATTTACCTGTAAAATGAAAGGTATCTTCTGTATAACCGGTACACAAAAGGTACCTTCCTCTACCCGTGTAGAACGATTAGTTTTAAAATCAATTTTTCTAACTAATCGTACTATGGTAGAACAATTTCTTTGCTTTTCGTCCTACGATAAGACAATTAGTGCACCGGGAGACGACTTAGTTATTGGACAAACATCATGAAAAACAGAACTAAAACTCGCTCGTCTTATCCATTGCCTAAGAATAGGTCCATAAATTTATTGTTTCATCACATCCAACAAATCATTTGATCCTCAAGCATTCAGATACAACATGGATTTTTCAACACATGATATTAAATCCAGATATAAATATTTGCCAAACAAATTGCAATAACGACATAGTCTAGGGATAGCACGTGGCAGAACCGCCCGAAATAACACGTTTTCAGAGGCGCTCGTCTTCCACTAGACACTAAGCACCTCGAAAGAGAGCTATATCGGATAATTCCGACGAGCACACCCCAATGAAGAACTCAAAAATCCATATCTTTTCATCAGGATCATAAATAAGAGAATAAAGCTTACAACATTCTTACGTCATTTCTTATATCACTTTATTACAGTAGTAGAATATTATCTCAATTGATTATAACAGTGGAATATAACAATGTTATCAGAGTTACAGAGGAAGCAAGATTAATTTAATGATATGGTGGAGCATTAACATGGTGGACATTTTTATACAAGAGATGCTAGCAGATTTTACATCTTTTTTTATAAAAACCTTTAGTGGGGGTATAAATAAACACTACGGTCATAGCGAGAAAGGAATCCTCTCTGAGCCCACCAGGATGTTTTCACACACAAGAGTCAGCTCTACGTATCCTTCGGTTACCTACAACAGAGGGAATAAAACCCTGAGTACTCGATTGTACTCAGTAAGACTTACCCGACAGGAGGAAAACAAAAGACTCCAAAGATATGCAAGGCTTATTTGGCTTGTGGGTTGTTACATCTACGGAAGCATTACTAAACGTGTGTCCTTATATTCAATTTTATTAGCAGTCATCATTAGCTCATTACCTAACCATTCTATGTAAGCACCTATGCTTCTTTCAAGTAGGTGGTAAGCAATCAGAACTATTTTATCATCTTTCATATTCTAGTTCTTACTACGGTGCTAGATCGTAGCCAAGTTGGTACTTGCCTCACGTAAAACAAATGATTCACGAACTAATATATCCCAACTGGGTACCCCAAAACACATACCCCGTTTGTACCCTAGGTACAAACAAGACCAACCCATTCCACTCCTGTCATGGGGTCCAAATCGCCGTCCAAACTTGGACTCCAAGCCCCCACACTTGAGACCCGGTCTCAGTATGGTGCTTAGACCTCTACCTTTCTCCGCCTCCAATCATTCGGTTCAGAAAGAGCCGGAACCCGCGACAAGAGTGTAACAAGCCTTCCCGCTCCCATAAGCAAGTATGTGCTCAGGATAATAAGTCTGTGACCGACTACCATCCACAACAGAACGATCGATCCACAATCGACACAGGCGGAACAAGTGCAACCCGAGCCTCGCTCGAATGCCTAAACAAGTCTAGATCAAAGTACCATTCCGCCTGGTCTCCAATTATCATTCATATATGTTCCATATGATAATAATATAATAACAACAATAATATCTTTCCTATCTCTCGCAAGTGATAGGTAATCACTCGACTTCTATCGGATTCTATAGCATAGCAATCTACATAATCCTGACATACTAGTAGGACTCATAGTATAAGGATATATATGCAAGTGGTTTTCATTCAACTCCTTAAAACTTAATACACAAGCTTAAAATAATATGCAGAATAATAGGGGTTATGCACCGGGGCTTGCTTGGGTAAGATATAACCAAAAGTTAGCATTCTATCATGGTGACACGATCATCAAGGCACCATCTTTCCCGCTATTTCAAATCGACTCCATGATCCATTGTTGTTCCTATTATGATATATATGGATGCAACGTAGAGACGTAAATAATTAACAGCAACTGCAACTCTAAAATATGATTTTGCTCCGCAGGCTAATGATGAAACATCCTCAATTTTCCTTGAAGGGAAAAATCCATAGAATGAATTTTAATATGATAAAACCAAGATCTGATTTCATCATATTATCATATTTCAGTCGATGTCACAATCATACATCGTAAGATTACAAGAATACAAGATATTACATCACTGGGGAACACACCTATTACAGAGTTAATCTAGCGGAAGACTATCGAGTGAAGGCTCCTCCTTCACGGATCATCATCAGAGTTGGCGTAGTGCAGCGTAGATTCCATCTCCGAACCAAACTTGAGCGTAGGCACGAGACCTCCTAATCCTTCTAAAGTCAGCATCTCTGAGAAGCAGGAAATCTGCACACCGCCAGATGTGTGCAGGCCATGGTCAGCACCGATGAGCTTTAGTGGAAAAGATAAACAAGGAATCTGGTGATCCTAATATTTGGCTGTGGTTTGCATCCTTAGCGCATGAGAAGTAAATAACATTATTAATATAGTAATAATATCTAGTTTTTAACACATTCACCACCACACCATCCATGTCCATCCACCAACCATCCATCCCAAACCATCTCCTCACCACCACACAATATCTCATCTCACACACTCAGATCGATAGGCCAACTCCCTCTCGGCCTTGTCTCAACGGCCCACAGCCCCTAAGGCTCACGACCGGAAAAATACCCCAATCCTGGAGGGAGGAAGGAAGGACTCATCTCCTATCTAGTTTAAGCGAAACTCACGAAAGGTCCATAGCCGACAAGTCAGCATATGTATCGATCGATCAACCATACACTCTGCAGAGGTTTTACATACCCACAAGATTAGCCATCCTCGGAGCCATGTATCTCCTAGGCAGAATTCCGGTCGCTTGCTAGCCTAGAACGATGCCACCCTACCTCTCAGCCCTGGAACATCCCAAGTCTAGTCTGGGATGGCTGATACTGTGAGTCGTAGACAGAGCCGGGGCCCTCCGGATGTCAAGAGCTGGGTCCACAAGGCCTCCTGAAGTCTCGGAAGGGTGTGGGGGAACAACCGCATGCCCCGTACCTCCTTGCACACGTTCGCCTAGCAGTAGCAGCATCGCTCTACCAAGTAGTCCGACCGTCCCGCACCATATAGGACGAGTGGGATGTAAAGGATTCCCGGTGAATCTGAGTACTAGTAAGTCCTTAGGGATGACCAAGCCAGAATGTCTTCATCAGGGTTTCCATTTTACGTGCCACCACAGCACCTCTACCCCGGGCTCCACCTCTCCGAGGTTCACACCCAAGGCCACCTCCAATTACCATTTACCCGCCACAGGTATTCCATATCCAAGTGCCTAGGTAGCACCACATGGCACGCCCCAGGCTCGTCGTTATTCCAGCTCGGTCGACACAACCCTCACTCTCCACGCACCCAAGACACACGCAACACGCTCACACACCACCAAGTCCGGCACCCATAGCCAAACCATTCCCAGGGGTTCACCACCAGCATCACATCCCAGATATAATGCAAAGTGGAGTTAAAAGTAAGTATAGTGGTATAATATGCAAACAAGCAGGCAAGTAAGCATATATATAAGTGAGCGAAGGCGCAAAGCAGGGTGACATGGTAGAGTGGGTTGCATCAGGGTAATAATAGCTCAGGTAGTAGCACGCATCAAAGCACTAGCAAGGAATAATTATAAAGCGCTAGCAGTTCTAGATATTATGCAATGTCTAATAGGATTCTCTAAAAGAGGGTGCTGCCATGACACCTACGATGTAGAGGTAGTAGTGGTACAATTCTCTATTCGTTGGTGTTCCATTAGCGGGGTCTCCTCCTCCTGTGTTGACTCCATTCCGCAGTCCTTGTCGTCGTCCACGTTCTCTTGGTCCGATCGTCAGTTACTCCGCGAAGCGACACGCAAGGCAAGAGAGCACTCAACACTCGAAAAGACGATGAGACACAGGAAATCCAATAACGCCATCGAGACAATAAGAGATACACGGCTTAGCCCTCTCGGCGGTTGTCCGATTTCCTTGGGCAAAAGAATCACAAGTGGTGGTTTGCTAAGCACAAGCTTAAGTCATGGCCAAGCCAGTTTGGCTTTAGGATAGATAGTTTAAGCCAAAGCTTATCCATAGCAACACCACGGCTCACGTCCTTCGATCCGGGCGTCATGGAAAGGACAGGAATCGGGGGACGGGCCCAATAAAGGAAGAACGACGGGGTTCGGCTCTTATAGTCTTATCCCGCAAGTCACAATTGGACACGAGTAGCATACAAGAACGATTAACACTATTGTGACTTGGCTCCAACGTACGTCGGCTCACCCGCTATGGTAGAATGCGGTAGCGCAAAGAGATTGGACATCAACGG